GCCCGTCGTCGGGCAGCAGCGAGGCCCGCGGCGAGGGAGCCGGCAGCTCCGGGTAGGCGCCCATCGAGCCGCGGGAGCTGCGCGAGCTGTGGCTGGAGAGGCTGGAGCGCGGGCTGGCCAGGGAGGCGGCGCCGGCCGAGCCCGACGGCGCCAGGGGCCGGCCGGCCGCGGCCTCCAGCTCGGCCGAGGAGCGCGGGCTGGCGTGCCGCTGGTCGTAGCCCAGGCTGATGCCGCTGGTGCGGGCGCTGCTGGGCTTGCTGCCGTCGGAGGAGCCGGCCAGGCTGGCGCGCGGGCTGGAGGGCTTGCTGGCGTCGCTGGCCGTGCTGGCGTAGCTGGAGCGCGGGCTGAGCGGCGCCTCGGCGGCCGAAAGGCTTCCGCGCGGGCTGGCCAGGGCGCCGCCGCCGCTCTCCCCGGCGCCGGCCCGCAGCACGTCGAGGCCCGCGGACTGGCCCCGCCGGCCGCCTTGCCGCGCGGGAAGCCCTCGGCCGAGTAGCGCTTGTAGCAGGGCAGCGCCACCTCGGAGCGCGGGGCCTCCTCGCCGGGCGGGGCGCGCTGGGGCGGGCAGGCGGGCTCCCCCGACGGGTAGGGCGGCGGGGGCCCGTTCAGCGGCTGCTCCCGGCGCCGGCGCCGCCCGACGCCCTCCTGGGGCAGCGCCGGCTCCGCCATGGGCTCGCCCGGCTCCACGCGCTCCGGCCGGCTGCTCAGCGCCGCGGCCGCCCCGCGTCTCGGCGCCAGGAGCCGCCGCCAGGCATCCCGGCCTCGGCCGGCCACGCGCGGGGGAGGCGCCGCGGGAAGGTCCGCCTCGCGCCCGGCCGCTCCGCTCGCCGCCCCTGCGCTGCGCTGCCCCGTCCGGGCCGGCGCTCTCCGGACGGCGCCTCCTTTGTGCGGGCGGCGGCGGCGGCGGCGGAGGAACTTCTTTGTGTGGGGCAGGAATGCGCGGAGGAGCCCGACGGCGCTGCGTCCCTCTGGAATGCGCTTCGCTCCGGAGCCAGACAATGGCTTGAACCGGGCGAGGGCGGGGCCAGGGAGACGCCCCCCCCGCCCCCTCCTGCCTTCCTCCGCGGGCGAGCCCCCCCGGACCCCCTGCAGCTTCTGCCCCCCCCTCCTCCCGCCATGCGCCCGCCCGCCTTGGACCTTCGGGGTCTGGCTCGACGGCACGAGGGGAGGTGGCGCTGCGAGTCCCGGCCTCGGCTTGTGCCAGCGCAGTCCGTCCTCGCTTTATAGGCCGGAGGACCGGCGACTGGAAGTCCGAGCCCCAGGAACTCCTTTGGGGGCTGGGCTCATTCAGCCAAGCAGGGCAGCAGCTGAGCGCTTCCTCCGGGGCTCGGGATGGCCCAGATGAGAGACCCCCCCCCACCCCCGCTTTCCGCATCTTAGTGGGCGAAGGCAAAGTTTCCCGTTTGCTGCCTTCTGCCGATCCAGAATGCGGGCTCGCTCAGCGGCCGAAGGAACTCCCTGCCACATAATACACGCGGGTAGATGCATAATTTAATATTGATTTGTTTATTTCGTCATGTTTATGTAGTGTATATTGGAGATGGAGACCCTTTGAGGCTTCTAGGCCACCAAATTTCATTTTAATGTATGCCGATTAGTGTATATTCAAAGTGACAATAAAGTTATTCTAAGTCTTAAGTTCTAGGTCTTGCCCAGGAAAAAGAGCCAGCCTCACCTCAGGTGTTTCTCTCACCTGGAAGCCAGCTGGTGAGCAGAGGTGGCCAAAGGACAGGCCGGAGGAAGACCCTGAGGACCAGCCCTGGGCTTGGGGGGGGGGGCTGTTCTCTTACCTGGAGCCCTGCCGCAGCTCTCAGAAGGCTCCCATCCCTGGGGAGAGGAACAAGCAAGCAGAGCTGGTGCAGCCCTCCCATAACAGGCACCCTTTCTGTTCAGGGGTGCCTGTGTCTGTGTTTGTGTGTTCTGCATCATCCTTGCTTTCGATTTTAAGGAAATGCAGATTGCTACAGGCGCTCTGGAACTCCCAAGACCCTCATCAGTCCCCTAATCCCCATGCCTGTTGCATCAAGAGGTTCTGCAGTGGAAAGAACTTTGTCTTTCTCAATTATGCATTATTTTTCTCTATGTGTGTATGTGTGTTTGTGTTACAATGGCCCTGAGCAGAGTGAAAAACGTTCTCCCTGCAATTCTGGTTTCAGTGTGCTTTGGGAACAGAAGAGCAGAAAATGGAAACTGCAGGCTGCCCCTGAAATGCTCCGATGTAGCAGGATGCACATTAGACGGAAATACAAAGAACCAGGCTGCAACAGCTAGAGAGCAGGGCAGGATCTACCAATTTCTGCAGAAATGCTCCAGGGAGCGACAGGATCCTGGAGGGCCGGCTGCCCAGATTTTGATCCTGTGACTGCAGGGGGCGCTGCAGCAACCACAACTTCAAGGAACAGTTCAACTTTGTCATAATGTCCAACAATTGTGGAAGGAATGGCTGTTAAACTAGGGTTACCTGTAGCATGTCTGGTTCCTATTGAAATATTGAAAGGTTCCTAAAAAAAATTATTTTGCCAAAATAATAATTAAAGTGATTTGGGTGGGACAGGAACCTGGTGGGCAGCAGAAGTAGTATCTGGGTACAAGGGGAAGGCCAACCCATACCATCAGCTAAATGTTGGCTAAGCATGTAGAGTGATTCGGTCTCAGTGAACTTTTTACGTCCAAATGTAGATAATCCTTGGTTTATGACCTTCCGATCTCTTAACAACCATTCAAAGTTAAGTCAGACTCAAAAAAGTTACTCATGACCAGTCCTTGAAGTTAATGACCTCACCATTCTCCTGGTCATGTGATTGGATTTTGGGTGGCTTGGCAACCAGTTCACATTTACAACCAGTTGAATTGTCTGTCACATGACATTTTTTGCTGCTTTCCAGCAAAATGAATGGCATAAAATACCCATTGGATAAGATGGATTTGGACTTACAAGCCATGTGAGTAGTGACTTAACAACCATTGTAAAAAGAGTCATAAATTGGAGTCTGGTCACGTGATGACTCAACAACCAAAATTCTGGGCTCAATTGTGGTCGTAAATTGAGACCTATCCATGTAGGAGGGAAAAAGTCAGCAGTGAAATCTGGCCGGATCTATCCAGCTTGCGCGAACCGGTAGGGCCAGCAGCGGGAGTCTCCACCCACCCACTGAGACGTCATTATGTCCCGTTTTTGACCCTCTGCGCATGCACAGAAGAGGTACGTGCACTCACATTTCTGAACTGGTAGCAAAGGTAAGTGCATTTCACTGCTGGAAAAAGTATCCCGATTTTCATAAACTATAAAGATTGAAGAACTTTGAGATCGTGTGTTCTAATATTTGAGGTGCTGAAGAAAGGGTCAAGCTATTTTCCAAAGCACCTGAAGGCCAGACAAGGAATAATGGATGGAAGCTGAACAAAAGATTCAACCTAGAAATAAGGAGCAGCTTTCTGACAGTGAGATCAACCCATGGAACAAGTTGCCTTTGGAAGTTGTGGGAACTTCCATCACTTGAAGCTTTCAAGAAGAGACTGGACTGCCATTTGTAATAAATGGTATAGGGTCTCCTGCTTGGGCAGGGGTTGGACTAGATGACCTACAAGGTCCTGTCCAACTCTTGTTATCATCTCCCACAGTCTTTCACTTGCACAACAATCTCTACTTCAGCATCCATGATAGATCCTACTCCTGACTGTGCTCACCTTCTGAGGAAGTCTTCTTTCTTGCAGTTGTTAGGAAATTATTCCTGGTTAGTGTTAGTTAGTGTTAGTAGTGTCGGCTCCACATCGTGTCCTGCCATTCTGTTGGAAGGGGGCTCTCAGGGCACAATGGCCTTGGAACCAGGCAGGAACCGGCTGAAGACAATCGGAGGGGTGGGGGGGAAGGGGAGGATGACTTGCTGGCATTTTTTGCATGCTTTTGCTGTAACTGCTTGGGAATTAGGGAGAGGGATTGCCTTCAGAGACGGAGCAGTCTCCGTCCCAGCCGATTTGTTGACCCAAATCTAAAAAAATATTTTATAATTTTGTTTTACTGACCTTTCATTGATAACTTGCATACCATTTTCATTGCCCACCAGCCTTAATACAATTTAGATTCTTGCCATTCTTTCAATAGTTGAATGTTGATACAGCCAAGCACCAGCTGCATAAGCAGCCAGAAGATTCAGCCATGATTGATATGCCATAAATACCTAAGATTAGATAGATGGGGCCATCCCCTGGGATTCAAGGCTTTTAGAGACATTGATGTAAGGATGGCAGGTAAAGAAACGGAGTTCACATTCTGTCGTTCTGAAATAAGATTGCTCTTTCCTTATTTAATCCACCTAACAAGCCTGTTAAAAACCAAATCTTTTAACAAAAATACTGAGAATGGAGGTTAATAAAGTCCTCAGCTCTCTGCAGATTAAACTCCACATGTGCATTCATGAAGTGCAGCTTCTTCAGTCACATCAGGTAACCATGTGTAGGCCAGATTCTGCCCTCATCCCCAAGGACCGAGATGAAAGTAGGCTACCCTTTCTGTAAATGCAGTAAAAACTAGATCCTGGGTCTTGAAGACAACATGATGAACTTGGCTTTTATACAGATCACTGAGAAACAAAGAATACTTCCTTGTTTAAAGCTGTTTCTTGCAAGAATCCCAAATCTACTTTCAGGTCTATGTTGTGGATTCCTTTGGAGTTGATCAAGATGCTCAACAATGAAGGTTATAGCATTTTAGTTCCATTGCAATTTTCATTTATTGATTGATTGCTCCTTCTGCTATTAAGGTAAGCATCTCAATCCAACTAACAACACTTCAAAACCATATGTATGTATGTATGTATGTATGTATAAATAATAAAGTGTTTTTCTATCGAAGCACCTGGTCTACCCCAATGCTCCAATCCAGGAGCCCTCAAGCAATCGTATTCACGACAAACCATTTTATATCAAGTTTATATTTGCTGATAAAGAAATAAAGGGAGTTGATTTAAATGCTCTCATGGCAAATAAAGATTTTTTTCCAACAATCAGTGACAAATTTTTTTTATTTAAAAAACCCTTCCCTTTTCAATGCCAACAAAGAATATTTTTCAAAAGCCCTGCAGTATGTTTGTGGATGTTTAAGATCAAAGTTAGTACAGTATTATGAAATCACTTTACAAATCCTCAGGTCAGCACACAGGTGGTCTGTGCAAACAGATGTAGTTTACAGCTAATGTATTTACTTGGTCCATTAGATGGCTGGTAGAGTAGCAGTTAAGTTTTACATAACATCCTATATAAATAATCTGAAACTCTAACACTACACCAACATCCATTTTTCACACAGCAGGCACTACCAGCTGAGGGAGTAAATTGTTTTACAGTAATTTACATAGTGTCCAATGACTACTTGAAACACAGCTCACCTTCATTTTCAAATTTAGCTCTGAAGGTGTGACAAATCGCAAGAACTAAGCTAAGAAATGTTTTTTTAAGCCAGAATTGAAATGTTCTGAAAATTTACCAATTGATAACTTTTCACTATGGTTTCTTTGTTTTCCTTTATCAATTCAGCTTTCAAACATTATAGAGAGCTTAATTTTTGTGACTGTGCTTGAGTGGATAAGATAATCCAGTATATTTCAAATAGCATACTGGGGAAGATCTAAATGTGACAGAATGACAATGGCAGAGATTCTGCAAATCGGGCTGATACAGCTATTCACACCTCCCTTCCATTGGCCTTTTGGCACACCCTCTGGCATGGCAGCCCTCAGTCCAGAGCTATCACATCATCCTGTTTGTCATCTGGCAGCTCGGATCGCACTCTTTTTGCACCAGTGTATTCTTTGTCATCAAGCTTCCTCTTGCGGTTCTTAGTTTCTGTGTCATCAGCATTGTTTGATGGACCTTCTTCAGTCTCAACAATCAGAACATCATCATCATCATCATGAGCTGGAAAAGAAAGGAGCACCATACAGCAAACTGGCTTTTACAGTTCTTTAAAATGCACATTTACTGGAAAAATCTGCATTTTTATTTCTATCAGTATTTTCTGCTGTTCGAGAACAATCTTTTATGACTATGTCACAACCTGACATTTGCAGTGAAGGATGTGAATGGCTAAACCACTTTAATTCCTAAAATGTCTGGTCAAGGAGAGAGGAAGACACATGGTTGTGGGGACAAGACCAACCTAGTAGGAAAGAAATTGGTGTAATCCTTATTCAGAGGATTAAGTAAAATCTGTGTTTTACAGAATATTAAAAAATGTACAAAACAATTAGTTCTCTGCAAATAGCTTACATTTCAACATGCAACATGACTGCCAAAACTTCCAAAATGACCAAAATACATCAGCAATATTGTTTTTTCTTACCTGTAGATGTTGAGGGCTGTGCTCCGTCATCACTTCCATTGGTGATATTTTTGGTGGACGGTTCCGATTTGGGACCAATGATCTCATCGCCAACCACCTCAAATTCCAAATCTTTTGCCAGCTCTTCGCTGCTCAAAAAGATACAGACAACAATAAGCTTCTATATGGGCATGGCTGCATGGTTAATGAGAAGTGTTTCTGAACCTCCTCTAGGTTCCTGCAATTGGCCAAGAAAAGCCACAGATTTGATCTCTGTACCAGCAAGATCTCTGTCATTCTTTTCGCAGGAATTCTGATTTCAACAATATCTCATAAAGTTGGATTTGACCTTCCTCACCTGTGTAGCACATTGATCAGTAGGGTATAATCCTGCAGAAAGTCATCTGCTTGCAGCCGAGTGCCGTTTCGAATCCCAAATTCTGACAATGTCTTGTGGTTATTTGCTGTAAGCAAGAAAGGAAATCAGAAAAAGGACACATGCAATGTTTTATGAAAGCAATCTACAAAATTGTTATAATAATCAAACACTTAAGGCTGGTAAAACATTGAATTATAGTCAGTTCTTTGCCTGACTGAAAAAAAAAAGAGACATGCATGTACCATATTTGAGAAAGGAGTATGGACAAAAGATGTAAAGGTTTTATGGAAGCACCGAAGTCAGTGTTTTCAGAATTATTTCTTCCTTGACAGCCCAAAGAGTTGCTTTAAAAGTGACTAAAAATACATTCTTACTCAACCCCATGTCTAACTGCAAGCATGCCATCTTCCAGCCCAATATGCATTCCTCTTTATAGTTCAGCTCAGGATAGGACTTCAGAGCCCTTTCCCTTAGACTTCTTTCTCTTCCACTTCCATATTTGTCCAGGTGAGTCAGTGTCCAATCCTCATTTATCTCTTTCCATTTCCCCCATCATAAGTACCCTTTTCCTTGCATCTCACACTTCTAGCAAGTACACAAGGAAAATAAATTTGATGCTCAAAGAAACCACTGAAAAAAAGGAACATCCATGTTTTCATTTGTGTTCATGAATTTTTCCTGCTTTAAAAGTGGCTGAAGAAGGGCAATCTTTCCCCCCACCATTGTTCTCTTTTGCTTTTTGGAAAAGGAGAATAAGGGATGATGATCCGGCTAAGCAGCAGATTTTTCCTTGAGTTAGTTCAGTTGCAAAGATGGTGAATTGAGAAGAGAATGTTTGTTAAATTAATTATAACCAGAATACAGTGTAATGTGCGTCTCAGAAAAAAAACAAGGGATTTTTTGTGGTGGGATTGGAGTTTGGACTGAATAATACTGATGAAATGTAATATATAGAAAATTGAGAAGTGTTTTTTCCTTTAATTTTTTTTTTATATTCACCATCCGGTTTTAGCTTTAATTTCATACCTTCAGTTTCTCCTTCTTCTGAAGAGATGAGAATAGTTCCCTTTCCATCTTCTATTTGGACGTCAGGCGCTACCATATTAAATTTCTCTTTAACTATCTGTAGATAAAAATATACTTTCAGATGCTAAGATTCTTTCTCCCTTTCTCTCTAAATTAAAAACAAGAATGTTAAAAATCAGTCTTGGGGCACAGATTCTGGGGAGGAGCATTCTATCAATGCTGTTCAAGTAGGAATTGAATGGGAAAAGCGCAGCTGACTTACCTTGTCTTGCAGTGTTAGAACAGTGACTTTGTGGACATTAAGTTTCACTGTCACTTCTGGTTTACTCGCACAAACATAGCAGTTAGGATTGGGTGGGTCCAGAGCACATGGAACAAGCAACTTCTTTTTGGGGTTAGGTTGTTTATTCAGGAAAATCTTAAGAGGAGAAGAGAAAACAAATCATGTATTCAGGAAGGCCAAGAAGGAAAGAAAAGTACTTAGCTGCACCACACTTACCGCTCTGCACTGCTCAATTTTTCCTGAGAGGATTTTTAGACCCTCCAGCACTATCAGACCAGCTATGATGGCGTTGGTGGTAGCTATAGCAGGGATAATGTTTCCTGCCATTGCTGAAAAGGAAACAAAAATAGGATGCTTTTCCTGTACGTGGAAACAGCACAGCAAATATTTTAAAAAGCTCAGGGAAACCAGAACTTACATTTAATATCAAATTTGCTCTTCATGTTCATACTAAAGATATGCATCCTGAGGTTTGCAGCAGAAGCGACAAAATCCATTGCGGAAGGCTCATCCTGTAATCAAGATTCTATCTTCAGTTAACAAGAAAGTATCTATAGCTCCATCATGAAATATAAACTATATGGGTCATTTTTTCCAGTTTCATATATTTTCAAAACCTTTCTCACATATTTATCCAGTAAAGAACATTTTGATCCATTTATCAGCCTTCAAGTCAGCCTTGGACTCTCCGTCATTCGTTTCATCTTAAATAGCGTTTTCTGGCTCTGTTCAACAGTATACAATGCTACTTCTAAGGAAGCAGGCTGGTTTACTCCTCTGCGTTCAACAGACTCTCAAACATTTGCTGAACTAACCTTATCCCATGCAAGCTCAGCTCCATCACCTTTTTCTGCCAGTTGAACTCTCAGGGTCTCTATGCTCTTAGCGAACAAATGGGCATTGCTCTTTACATCTAAAACCTGCTGGTCCTTGAGGCCCAAAGGAGACTCATTCTGCTGATTAGATGTGCTGTTGTCTTCAGATGGAAAAGGAGAAAAGAAAAACTGATCAAATTATTCTATAAAACATTCACATCAAACATATTATTTGTACATTAAGACAACGAGGCTTCCATTCACTCTACTATTGCAAACACAAATGCATGTCTGAAGCAAATAAACAGCAGCAGTTTCCAGAGTTTCCAAGAAGTGTTCTGTTGGAAATGAGCTGCCACTTTCAACAGAGATTAAGTTTAGTGGGTAGGCACAATATTCACCCAAACAGTATCTCAAAATATTGGGCTTGTCTTTGATTCTTGGAAGCAGTCTGGACTTTGGTTACTGCTTCCCCTACACAAGGCAGGGGTGAAATGCTCCCGGTTCGGACCGGATCACCCGATCTGGTAGCAATGGTGGCGGGTGGTTCGGAGAACTGGTAGCAAAAATCCCTGCCCACCCCATGCCCAGCTGAGCCGCGCGATCATCAGAGGCTTTTTAAAAAAACTTTTAAAAGCATTTTTTCTACCACTTCAGCCAAAAGAATGCTTTTAAAAGTTAAAAAAAAAAGCCTCTGATGATCACGCAGCTCAGCTGGGATTGTCAGAGGCTTTTAAAAGCATTTTTTCTACAACCTCTTTGGGCGAAGAGGTTGTAGAAAAAATCCTTTTAAAAGTATTAAAAAAAAAGTTGGCCATGCCCACCCAGTCACATTACCCTTCCCCCCCACCAAACCATGCCCCCAGAACTGGGATACAAGGGATCTCCTTCTGCCTTGACTAGTTTGGTCTAGTTTGGTTAGTGGTTAAGGCGTCAAGCTAGAAAGTGAATTCAAGTCCCACCTTGGCCATGAAAGTTGGGTAACTTTGGGCCCCTCATTCTCTCAGTCCAACTCACCTCATAGGATTGTTGTTGTTGTGGGGAAAATAGGCAGAGAAAGGTGTATTGGGTTGAATTATTTGTAAAAATAATAAAGGTGGTCTACAAATAAATAAATGTTTAAATTCCTGATGAGAAGAAGTGGTGGCAGCCCAGGTTGGAGCATCTGAATTGGGGACAGAAGCCTGGAAAGCACAGGGATCTTGGGGCAGGGGTGCTGGGTGGCACTGGTGGAAGGTTGAGCTTGAAACAATAGCTATTCTTTGGCCACAGCCTGGTTCCTGCCGTGATCCACACTCCTTTGCTGACAGAGAAAAATGGGCCCTCAAACAGTTGAAGGACAACAGTTCCAATGCTGAGAAGGCAACCAAAAGTGATCTTCAGAACGGCCTGGTCTGAAACCCCTCTGCTCTGAAAAGTTCGTTAACTTGAGGCAGGATATCTAAAAACACAAACATCCTCAACGTTTTCACACCAGCACTTGTGAAATGCAATAAACTCGAGGAAGTCCTTCAATCAATGGCTTTTGATAACTTTGGGGGAAGATTGTTGAGAAGGTGGTCAGTCTGATGAGAACCCTGGAGGAAATGAATCATCTAGATCTGTTCCAGTCCAGTTTCAGGTTGGGATTTAGTGTTTAGTCAGCTTGGGTCACACTTCAATTATAGATGACCTGGGGTGAAATCAGGATGCAGGTGGTGTATTTACCCTTGTGCTTTTTGATTTCTCAGTGGATTCTGAAACCATCAATCGTGCCTTTGAGGAAGTGTGCAAGCTTAGTGAAGCATGCAAACCAGAGTTTGCATGAATGAGAGTGCATCTTTCTACTTCTGCCCTGGCCACTTTCTACAGAGGCACCGTTGGGAGCGTTTTAACAAACTGCATCACTGTTTGGTTTGATGTTAGCAAAGCCTCAGATACAAAGTCTATACGGAGAGTGCTAAGGACAGCTGAGATTATAGGAAGCTCATTTCCCATTATTGAGGATGCTGCTTATAAGTGCTACGTGCTTAGAGCTCAAAGCATTGTTAGAAGCCCCACACGCCCACTTCATGGTCTGTTTCTGTTGCTCCCCTCTGGAAGGTGGCTTTGAAGTATTTATAGCAGGACTGCTAAATTCTGTAACAGCTTTGTCCCTAATGCCATCTATATTGTAAATTTGCAGGATTCCTTTTTCCCACCATGTGTATGTATACATTTAAACTAGACAGTGATGTTTTTCTGTGTCATGTGCGCGCGCATATATGTATGATGGTTATCTTTTGAGAGCTGAATGCAATGAAATTTCGTTTTAATATATGTTAATTTCTATTCTATTCTATTCTATTCATTTCTATTTCTATTTCTATTCTTCTGAGCCAGTTCCAGTCAACACTGGTTGAGGGGATGACTCCCTAGGCCCCCACTTTGCCCATGGCAAATTAAACATTGCTGTTGATGACCTGTCTCAAGATCTGGAGGCTGTAGGAGTTTGGGTGGGGAACAGAAAGGCTTCAGCTCAACCTCGACAAGACCAAGTTACTTTGTTTTGGGGCCTGTCAGTTATAGGCCTAGGACATCTTTGGTGCTGGATGGGGTGGCACTACTGCAAATAAACCCAGTGTCCAATCTGGGGGTCCTTTTGACCTTATGACTCCGGCTTGAGGAGAGTGTGTTGCTAGGAAGGCTTTTGTGCAACTGCATAAGCAGTTCTTCCTGTCCTTCAAGGCTGTTCCCTATGCCCTCTACAAGAGGGTATTCACTTTGATCACTGGCCAATAATAGCAGCTTGCAATCAGAGTATTTAACATTCTTAAATATTACTCCCATGTCTATCTATGCTCCCATATTATTATGTAATATACTGAAAGAGATGTAGATCCTGCAGCTCTACCCTGAGTCATTCATGCCATGGTCACCTCCCAAATGGACTACTTTAATGCATTCCAGATGGGGCTGCTCTTGAAGAGCACCCAGAAGCTGCATTTGGCGCAAAATGCAATGGCTTAGGCAGTTATGTATGACCCTAGAACCGTACATGTCATCCTTCTGCTTCACAATCTGCCTCGGTTGCTTGTCTTCTTCCAAGTTCAATTCAAAGTGCTGGTTTTGACCTGTAAAGCCCTACGTAACATGAAGCCAGATTATTTGAGGGACTGCCACTTCCTGGTTATGTCTACTGTACCATCAAGTCCAGCAGAAGGCAACAATGGTGGATTGTGCCTGCCAAGGAGCTTCATCTGGCAGAACCCAAGAGGAGAGCCTTTTCCGTCGTGGCATCTTTCCTGTGGAACATCATTCCTGAGGCGAGATTGGCTCCAACCTGACCTTATGGAAGCTCTTAAAATCTGGTTTTGTCATTCAGCTAAGGATTCAATCAAAATATGGAGCCTGCAAGATGTTTTGGAATGCACAAAACTTAATTGCTTGTAAGTTATGGAAGGTACTTTCCCATATTTTATTTTTATTTATAGTTTTTAACCCGTTTAGTTGTATTTTGATGGTTTTGTTTTTGTGAAATTGTGTGTGCTAGCCAGTCACGTATATGAGATGGGCGGCTGTGGATGTTAAATAAACAAATAAAAATGATTGTATTTTCTTTTTTGATGTTTTTTATTTGTTACCACTCAAAGTTCTTTGAGAGCTGGATGGCATAAAAATTTAAAGAGCAACTTGTCAAATTTAAATTGGCATGATCATATCCTTCAAACAAATATTTTGGGATCAGCACTAAATAAATGATGTAAATAGACATATCAGTTCTGCTGGAGGCCAGTATTGAAATACTGTTTGGCCGATTCAGTTATTTTCAACTCTTAATCTAAAAATGCTTACCTTGATTTTGTATTTCATTCCAGTCCAGAGGAATAGGAGGCTTCCTTTTTCTCCAGAGTTTATCCATTGTTAAAAGATACCTGATATCATCTTTGAAAAGCTAGAAAACCAGATTTGGAAAGGAAGCTTAATATTAAGTGATGCTCTTGTTTGCTAGAAATATTAACAGCTCTCTGGTTAGAGCTGATTGGGAATATTAGCAACAGAGCTGTTTCAAAGATACGCTGAATCTTGACATTTGCTGATAATAGTAAATTTCTGGAATATCTGAAATTGCTGAGTGCAATTTTGTGTAAATTTGATAAAGAGAGCAAAATTAGTAAACATGCTGTATTCTATTTGCGAACACTAAAGTTAACATAAACTGAAGTAGCCCATAAAAAAAATATAATAAAGGTCATGTCAATCCCCAGCTTATCTCACTGCACTCCTCAGGTATAGAGTACGGCCCCCAGACCCAAAATGGTGCCACCTGATACAAACATTTGTCCACATAATCCCTCCTTGCTATTTTAGCAGCTTTCCCTTCTCAAATGTACAGCCTGTCGCTATGAAAAACAGCCCTCTCTCTAAAACAACATGGAGAGTGTGAATGCAGCTGGGAGCCTTTGGAGTTTTAGCATTCCTATACCAGCACAGGAGGAAGAGGACGGTGAGGGAGCAAGGCACATACAGCTTCGTGTGTGTGTGCCCACTACTTGTGCAGCCTGCCACTTGTGCAGCCTGACTCCAAACAGGACATGGCCCTGGGGTTGGGGACCCCTGTTCTACAGTATGGAAACAGCCTCCTGTCTCTTAAATGTCCCTGATTAAGAGCTTAAATGCAGCTGATCAAAACTGGCAATGTCCCACAGCAACCACGCTGGGCTATATAGATTCACCAGGTATAGAGGACAGGGGATATATGGTACTCGTCTTCACCTTTCAAAATACATCACTAATTAACACACTGAAGTGTTTTACAATTTTAAATTTTTAAAAATGTAGAACTTTTTAAAATTAAAAACTGATGACTACCGTGGTACCATGTTTCATTTAATTTATCACTACCTCCTAGTATACAAATAGGCCCCATGGAAATAAGTCCACAGTTCTGTTTTTCTTCAGCTTGTACAAACGTAAACACAGAGCCTGCCCTACCTTAGTGAAAAGCTTTACTGAGTCATAGCCTGTGGATTTAGCCCATTCCTTCGTTGAAACCCGCTTGATGTCCCCATCCTCATTTGAGGCTCTTGCTCTAGCCTCCGCTTCTGCTGGCTCCCCTGTCAACAATGGAACATTTTACATTCACCATTAAGATATTTTGCCCAAGATCTTTTACTGGGCAAAGAGCAGATACTTCTTTGGAAGACAGCCCCCACAGATGATTGCGGACATCATTCAGATAAGTTTGGCTGGACATATGAGATATTCTCAAGACAGGTTACATTCTGCATTTCCTGCGTCAGATGAGGAGAGCACATCTTTCTCCTTCTGTCCTGGCCACTTTCTACAGAGGCATGATTGAGAGCATTTTAACAAAGTGTACCAGTGTTTGGTTTGGTGGCTGCAGTGCCTTGAATAGAAAGTCCATACAGAGAGTGGTAAGGACAGTGGAGAAGATTATAGGAAGCTTGCTTCTGTCATTCAGGATACTGCTTATAAGTGCTATGTGCTTAGAGCTCAAAGCATTGTTAGAAATACCACACACCCACTTCACGGTCTGCTTTTGTTGCTCCCCTTTGGGAGGAGATTTTGAAGTATTTCTAGCATGATTACCAGATTCTGTAACAGCTTTGCTTCCTATGCCATCGGTCTGGTAAACTTGCAAGATTCATTTTTCTCGCCATGTACATGTATACATCTGAACTAGACTGTGTTGTTTCTCTGTGTCATATAATAATAATATATGTGGGTATATGCATACTTTTGCAATTTATTTATCTTGCCATGTTTATGTAGTGTATATTGGAGGTGGTGACCCTTTGAGATCTGTAAGTAACTAAATTTCCTTTTAATGTATGCCGATTAGGTACATTCAAAGTGACAAAAAAGTTATTCTAAATCTAAGTCTTCTTAATCCAAACCTTTTAAGAAAAGGGCCAAGAAATGGTCCGGATAGCGACGGTTTTGTGGCAAGGTGAACGGAACAGCCTTGGTTGGCCCTCTGGGAGAAAAGCCCTGTGAGCAGTGAAAGGTTCTGGGCCTCCAACAGGCAGAGTAAAGGGCTCAAGAACGAAGAAGAATTTCACACTTACAAGAAGCTTCAGGATCAGCTCTATCAGGAGACACCTCTTGATCAGCGTCTTCTTCTCCAAACAGTTGGCTGTGGGTTCAAACACACAAGATACACAATTTGACGGTGAACAAAGGATGTGAATATGCACATATACACATCACACACACACACGCACCACAAATACAGCATTTGGAAGAGCAATTATCCTTTTGGTTTATAGGAATGTCTGCTGACTTTAGTCCAATTTAAAAACTATGTCACATAGGTTTATTTTAAGAATTAGAGAGAGAGAGAGAAACCCCATAGTAAGAGTTAGAGATGCTGTGTGTCCAATTCCAAGACTGACTTGGACATTCAAATATTATTTAAATGACTTGCATTCAAATGTTATTCAACAGTCCTTGACTTATACAGTTTGTTTAGTGATAGTTCAAGGTATGACAGCCTTGGAAAAAGTGACTTATGACCTGCCCTTGAAGTTACAAGGATTGCACCATCCCTGGAGTCACAACTGAAGTTTGGGTGCTTGGCAACAGGCTCCCATTTACAGCAGTTGCAGTATCTTGTAGTCAAGCAATCACGATTTGCAACCTTCCCAGCAGACAACGGACAAGCAAAGTCAATTGGGGAAGTTGGATTTGCTTAATGACTGTGATTCACTTAACCTGCTTAACTGCAGTAAAAGCACTGATAAAATCAGGTCTGCTTACCTGATGACTCGCATAACAATTGTCTGCATAGTGACTGAAATTTCAGTTCCAATTGTGGTCATAAATCAAGGATTACCAGTAGTAAATCTTCCTCTTTTACAAAGCAGTCTACTCTCTCCTCCAAGCTCTCTCCTCAAATATATTTATTGTTAAGGAAAATTCTCTGGCATTCAGTTGGAATTTGCTTTCCTCCAATTTAATCCATTATTTCATGCAGTGACAAAGACAGGATTTGGTCTTCTATATGTCATCCTTAGAGGAGTTTCACAAGTGTCCCCATATCCTTCTCAGAGTTGTCTTCTCAAGGCCAAATCTACCACTTTCCTTGATCTTTCTTAAAGATCATCCTTTGAACCAATTCCAAATTATCTGATTTAATAAAGAACAGACTGCAACTACTGGAATTTGTCCAAAAGGGCCCTGCTGGTTATAGTGTTCTTGGTATTCATCACTCAATGCAACTGTTAGAGAAAGAATCTCTGAAGGATTATTACAAAAACGTCAGAGAAGTTTCCACAGAAAACAGGCACGCTTGGCAGCTGCAACTGAACAGGACAGGATAATGTGTCTTCCTTGTGTTTACATTTACAGCATGTTAACTGTAATGATCTATTACGTCCAGGTTTCTTCGATAAAATGGGATCATCCGCACAATAGTCCTAGCCGATAAATCTATATAAATCAGGTAAGGAACCCCAGCTCAAGGAGTTACGAGCAGAGAATAGCAGAACTCTTCTGAACTTTGCAACAAGAGAATGGCATTTTTCCCTTCAAGAAAGGCAGCTTACTTGAATAAATACTTTGCCCACACAATGCAGTGGATAGGTTCAGAAGGAGTGTTCCGAATGGTGCAGCCTGGAAATGTTTTCTGGGTTGGTTTAGGATGACATTCATAACACTCTGTCACTCCCTATTGAAGAAAAAAAATCAAAAAAACAATTACTGCAGTGTGAGTATTGATAATTTTGAGGATTATAATGCTGCAGCACCAGAGACCAAAAAGACAATAATGTCTTACCTTTTTGATAACGGTGACTTGCCCAAGATAGCCTGCGGTTCCACTTTCTATAAGAGGGATATCAGCAGCCAAACACATCCTGTTCACATGGTTACGGGCAGCTGTGTAAAGAGATGACCATTATTGACTTCCAAGAACCAAAAGAGTTAGGTCCAATACTGCCATATTTCTCCCGAAAGTAGAGTGATGTCAGTCCTACAAGATAGACCTGACTAAAATAGCTGCCTTCCACTATTGGAGGGGCTTCACAGAGAAGAGGAGGTCAGCCTATTCTCCAAAGCACCTGAGGGCAGAACAAGAAGTACCGTGTGGAACGCCATCAAAAGAAGAGATCCAATTTAGAATTAAGGACAAATTTCCTGACAGTGAGGACAATTAACCAATGAAATGGCTTGCGTCCAGAAGTTGTAAGTGCTCCATCACTGGAGGTTTTCCAAGAAGATTGAAGAACCATTTGCTGGAATGGTATAGGGTCTCCTGCTCAAACAGGGGGTTGGATTTGAAGACCTCCAAGGTCCCTTCCAACTTCATTATTCTAATTTTTTTTATAGAAACCTATGCCATTGCTGAGGGTTGGTGCCTATGGAAGGGGTGGCATAATGGACTACAGTAACGTAGCAGTTTCTAGAAAGGAGGGAGCACATTCCAAGAAAGGCCCGAGAAGAAGCAACACAATACAGAGCTGGATAGAAGACAAGAGGAAGAGGACCTGGATTGTGGGGACAATAAGCTGACTTTGTATAAAAAAGAACACTGCTTAGGGGGGCCCCAAAAAAGCCCTACTAAGCAGGTATATACAAAAGTACGAAGGCTATTGCTTAACGCATTGTAAGCCGCCCTGAGTCTCCGGAGAAAGGGTGGCATATAAATCAATCAATCAATCAAACAAACAAACAAACAAACAAGAGATTTAGAATAGCCACTTCCTAGAATATCTCCCAGGATAGATCCCTTAGAGCAGTGATGGCAAACGTTTTAGGCACCAGGTGCCCAAACCGGAACGTGCATGTGCACCGGAAACCCAAAGACCAGCTGGCCGGTGCACATGCGCTCGCCGAAACCACAAGAGCGGCTGGTGACACCACACATGCCCACATGATCACGGCCTTAAAGCAAGATTAATATACATTTAGTCTGATAAGATTTGGTCTATTTGATGGAAGCAAATAATAAACTGAACTTTGACTGATTATTCTATGTCATTTTTTGGGCAGAGCTTGACAACCTTATAGATTGGAACTGTTTTTTTTGTAACCGATCTAACACGTCTGAATGTGCTTCTCTTCTCCCTCCCTTTATCTTTGTGTGATAAAGCAGTAGGCCTTATATACCGCTTCACAGTGCTTTACAGCCCTCTCTAAGTGGTTTACAGAGTCACCCTATTGCCCCCAACAATCTGAGTCCTCCTGGTGAGATGCGAACTGCTGAACTGCAAGCAGCCGGCAGTCAGCAGAAGTAGCCTGCAGTACTGCATTCTAACCACTGCGCCACCACCACAGCTCTTTAGGGAGGGGCTAATTTTTCTCAAATTAGTTTCTACTGCATGAGCAGCAGTTCTTCTGTCCTTCAAGGCCATTCCCTAGGCCCTCTACAAGAAGATATTGTTCACTTTGATCACTGGGCAACAATTAAATTAGCAGCTTGCAAATTAATTCTTATATATTACTCTGTCTATCTATGCATCCCATCTTATTATGAAATACATTGAAAGAGATGTAGAGAATATTTGAGATTACAAATGTGTTTGTGTGTGGGACCCATTTAAAAATGTAAGATGCAAAGAGATATCTCACCTCTGTTATCTAAGGCATTCATTACTAGGGTGAACTGTCGAAAAAATTCCACATTATAATCAGGGCTGCAAAAAAAGAGCACATATCTGTTTTAATTAAGTGTGTCAAATGAAACCTATTTGAAAACAATATTTTCCAAACATCAAATTGCTAGACTTGTAGTTCCACTGGTTACCCAGTCCATTACACAATGTAATTCAAAAATACTTTCTTTCAGTTAACATATCAAAACAGTTTGAAGAAAAATAAAATGTTTTATTTCAGGATGGAAAGCTAATTGATAGAAGATTGCTGCTCTCTCCACAACCTGTTTCTTTAAGCAAAAAGCTAGTTAGGATCCAAAAAAGCATTCTCTTTACTGAAAAAAAATTGACTGTTATATCTAGGCAGATATCTAGTGAAATCTATCTTTGTTTGGAATATGTACAGCTGACGATGAGGTTTCAGTCGCTATCAGGTATTCTATGTTATCAAATCAGAGTTAAGTAGAAAAATATATAATTCAAATGGTCTGATATATTACAATCCTTCAATTTATGGAAGAAACCCAGTTATGTGTATGACAAACAGAAATTATTTCCAAAAACAGACATTTAAAAAAAAGCACTAAAAATCTTAAGAACAAGAATCAGGCATACTTCATAATGCTGTCATGATAAGCAATAATATTAGCTTGTTGGTGAAATTGTAGCACACTTTCCTTGGCAACCTGCAAGAGATCAAGAAAGCAAATTGATATTCAACCAATTAAATCTAAATTTTGTACAGTAAGTCGAAATGACCTTATGGATTTTTAATAATTCTACAAGACAAATAGGCAGTTACAAACCAAATTGAGATGAAAAGCAAAAGGTTGGTGTGTACACACCCTCTTGTTATTTAGTGATGGGAGGCAGTCCTTTCCAGTGACTTGGTCAGTAAGCAAAATAGCTGCTACATGAACAGGTGTGAGAGGGAGAGGGAAAGAGACACTGCAAAGATCACTGGCAGAATGACGACTTTATCATCCAAAAGGTAGAGGAAGTAACTAGTCGGTCAGCTATATTGGACTACATTCTTACTAACAGATATGAAATAATAGAGGCACCCACGCAAAAAGAGTTGCGCATGCACCCTCACCTGCCACTTGCGTAGCCCAGTTCCGAACGGGCCGTATCACAATACCGGACCACGGTTTAGGGTTTGGCACCCTTGTTCTAAGTCCTAAACAACTTATGATTTTACTTAGTGCTCAGATCTGGATGGCTTTGGAGGCGTAATTTTTTTGCCTGCTTTTTAAACATATTTTTATTATTTCTTGTTTACTTGCTTTTAATACAACGCTAGACACCCAAAGCCGCAATATGTGAGTTAGAAAGCCACAAAACTGAATAAAATGAACGAATATTTAAGGAACTGTTGTCCAATGAAAAATGGAGAGGAACAAATGAAAATGATTTCTTGAGAGGGAGGGAGGCTATAAATGGTCAATAATTTGAATTAGCTGAAAAATATAAGAAACTATCTATACTTAGGATTCCTCTTACCTGAGCTTTTGATCTCCCAACATGCTTCTTTTGAAACAAGAACTGCCTGTTGAGATTACTGACATCAATGGTATCCAGATCAATCTAGAAATATAGTAATTGTAGTTACCAGATTTATTCAGATGAATTAGCAAAAGCCTATTTTATGCATATCAGAGATCAAGCTCTGTGGTCATTGAATGAGGAAGGACCCAGAGAGATAGACCACCTCTTTGCTTTCACTTCAGACTTCTCCAAAAATGCAGCTAGATACTATTTCATGTTAAAAGCTGAACACCAATCTGGATTTGGGTCATTGTGGGATACACATTATTAAATTAAGAAATAGTGTTTCTCAATCAATTCTCAATATTTTCAACTGCCTACTTCAATTAGCAGTCCAAGGTCAGAAAAGAATATATCTCACACAATATTGTCTGTTATGTACACAACAATCTTATACAACCATGAGTGTCAAATGGGTCTCTTCTTTGTATGCTCAAGGCTTCATGTAGGTACTTTGATAATCCCATAATTATTGGAATGCAAACAGAATGAACTAGGTTCAGGTTTAGAATAACTGAAATCAGTTAGACTTGAGTTAATTAGAATAGGAATTCTTTATTGGCCAAGTGTGATTGGACACACAAGGAATTTGTCTGTGGCGCATATGCACTCAGTGTACATCAGTGGATTTGCTCCCACCATAATTAAATCTTTATCCAACCTACTGCATATTAAACGTATATAGATCTATTTTCTAGCTTTTACTTTGCAATAATCAACAAGTAATAACTTATTTTCCTTTGCATTATAAAATAAGTTCTATTGCCTGTTCTACTATTATGTCCTGGTGAACTCAAATTATAGAATGAGATTAATCAATAAAACATAGCTAAACTAAGCTTTATTAGTAGAAAAAAAATGTTACCTGTACCCATCCCATACAGGTGCAAAAGTATATTTATCTAAGCTAGAAATATAGGATATAGCAGTTTAATTTATGGATGTCTGAAAATATTACTTGAAATCCTCCACAGTTTTTGTATTCTTTCTTTATATTAAAATTTGAAATTTTAAGTATTTTATATTTCCTGCATACCCTAAGCCCTTCTGGGAAAACATTAATTCACAATTCTTTTACAATTAGGTAAATTGTGTACCCAGTACACAAACATTGAAACAGACTGGTCCCAATAAAAAACAAAACACTTGACCTTTCAACTTTGCAGGGAATATATTTTAAAAAGTTGCATTCGCAGCAAAAATAACCCAGTTATGAATTGACAATCTTGCAGCAACCACAGCCAAACTGTAAGTATGCGTCCCTTTCTGGACCGGGACTTCCTACGCACAGTCACTCACGCCCTCGTCACCTCCCGTCTGGACTATTGTAACGCTCTCTACATGGGGCTCCCCTTGAAGAGCACCCGGAGGCTCCAAGTGGTCCAGAATGCAGCAGCGCGGGTAGTGATGGGAGCAGCATGGCGCTCCCATGTAACATTGCTCCTGCGCGAGCTGCACTGGCTCCTGGTGGTCTTCCGGGTGCGATTCAAGGTGTTGGTTGCCACCTTTAAAGGCTCCATGGCTTGGGACCTGGATATTTACGAGACGGCCTTCTGCCACTGATAGCCTCCCATTGACTGGTACGCCCACAGAGAGGGGCTCCTCCGGGTGCCCTTCATGCCTTTCGTCGCGCCCTAAAAACATTATTATTCCAACATGCAGGGCTGGCCTAAATAATAACAACATTTTACTATTTTAAATGGGTTGTTTTATTAGAGTTTTTTGGCCAATTTATTTGTTTTAAATTGCTTTTAATTTTTATATTGTCATGGTTTTATTTTTGGCTGTACACCGCCTTGAGTCCTTCAGGAGAAGGGCGGTATAGAAATTCAATAAAATAAATAAATAAGTATAAAGCCCCATTAAATGCATTCACACAACAATTAAGTTTCAGTAGTTTTAACCCGAGGGGAGGTCTCTTTTTGGGTCAATGTTAATTCAATGGACTAATCTAGGAAAACGGGTTTAATTTATAACAAAGTTGGCTATCTTGCACAAACTTTCATAGGATCTCGTAAGTACCCAATCAATAAACAGAATAAGGCTTCAGATACCAACAGAAAGACTGAACTCAAAATACAAATCACTCCCCGACAGAAAATCCACCGTGAAAGAAGCCGCTCTTTTTTCTCTCGGTTGTTTCCAGGCTCCAGAGCTGTGTTTCTCCACCTTGGAAGCTTGAAGATGGGTGGATTGGGCGCTGCTGGCCGGGGGATTCTGGGAGTTGAAGTCCACCCATCTTCAAGCTTCCAAGGTGGAGAAACACAGCTCTCGAGGTAGCCTGCTCTCTTACAGGGAGGCTCCACCGTCAGCAGCCCCCACGTCCGAACAAGACCTGCTCGGGAGATGCGAGATGGGCTCCACATCCCTCAGGGCAGCTGCGGACAACCGCTCCCTCTCTCGCATCTCGCCCGGGCCAACAAAGGAGAGAGCGCAGGCGGCCCAGGGGTCGCGAGGCCCTCCGGCGTCCGGGCCCTGCGAGGGAGGCCGGTTCCCCCCACACGGACGCCGCCCGCAGAGAGAGAGAGAGAGAGAGGCTCCCTCCGCCCGCGGCCATCAGGCCCCGCCCCCCCCGCGGGGGGGGGGGGTTGGAACGCGGGGGGCCAGAAGGCGCCAAGCGGCGCGCGCGCCCCCCCCCCCCCCCCACGCGCGCCCGCCCGCGCGCCTCCCAGGCCTCACCACGTCGATGTGGGCGAATCCGGTGAGCACCAGGTCCTTGAGGAGCTCGCAGCCGATGCCGCCGGCGCCCACCACCAGCACCCGCGCGGAAGCCACGGCCTGGGCCAGCTCCCCCTGCAGGGCCAGGGCCGCCGCCATCCCAGCACTGAGGAAGCGAGCGGGAAAAAGGGACGGCGAGGGACTCCAGCCAGGCGCCGCGCATGCGCCGTTCCTCAGGCCGCCTCCGGCGACCGTCACCATAGAGCGGGAAGCGCTCTCCCAGAGCGGCCGACGCCTCGGCTGCCCCTAGCGGCCGGCAGGCGGCGGCGCGGACTCCCTTCGCCCTTCGCCGCCACTCTGGCCCGGCTGCCCGCAAAGCGGCGAAGGGCGCCCCGCGCTGTTTTAGGCCCACCGGCCTCTTCTCGGCTTCCAGGCGGCGTTTGGAAGCCGCGGAGAAGGCGCAGCGGCCGGTGCCCGGCCAGGCCGCCTCCCTGAAGGCGCTTCCCGCAACCGCATCGCGGGGCCTTCTCCAGCCGCCCTCGGCCAAGGAGCCTCCGAGGCTGGGAAGGCCCCGGTAGGGGGGGGGGGGGGGGGGGGGGGGGGCAGAGCAGCCTGAAGGGCGGGAGTTCCAGGCAGCCGCCGCTGGAGAGGCCGGGGAGCCCCGCGGCAGAGCTGGGCGAAGCAGAGGCGCTCTTGGCCCCCTGGAGCCCTTCGAAGGATGCCGGCGAAGGGAGCGCCGTTTCTGGCGGCTTCTCCTCCGGCGATGGGAGGGAAGCTCCGGCCGACGTCCCCGACAGTCCCTGCCTCGCCCGGGATCTGAGTTAACGGGGACTCTGCGTCGCCTGCCGAAAGGCCTGGACACAAAGGGCGCCGTCGCTCTGCGGAACCCCCGATGCCCCCGTAGAGCTTCGTGTCCAGGACGATTAGCAGCCGCTTCCTGTGGCTGCTTCAGGCATCCTCGCCCTCGCCTCCCTTCTGCCCGCACCTCAGCCGAGCCCTTCCTGTTTCTGGGGGGGGACAATTTATTCATTTATTTATTGGTTCGATTTATATGCCACCCTTCTCCGGAGACTCAGGGCGGCTTACAATGCGTTAAGCAATAGCCTTCATACTCTTGTATATACCTGCTTAGTAGGGCTTTCGGGCCCCCCTAAGCGGGGTTCTTTTTTTATACAAAGTCATCTTATTGCCCCCACAAACAGGGTCCTCATTTTACCTACCTCGAAAGGATGGAAGGCTGAGTCAACCTTGAGCCTGGTGAGATTTGAACTCGCAGTAATTGCAGGCAGCTAAATGCTACTTTAACAGCACTTTAGTCCGCTGTGCCAGATTTGGCACAGATTTGGCTCTCTTGATTTGGAGCAGATTTAGTCCGCTGCGCCACCAAATTGATTTGGAGCAGAAGAGCAGTTTGGGATCCGATTGGTGCTGGCATCTTCAAGGCCATTTACCCTGAGGGTAAATGTCACCAGCCTCAACACCTCGGTGGCAGTGCCAGATTGGGTTCAAGACGGACTGCTTATGGGACTTCCTGGGAACCCCGTTTTCCCCTTCCCTTTCCCGCCCTTAATTTCTTATTTTCTTTTTGCATTTTATATTTTATATAATAAAATTAAAAATCTTAGATTTAAAGGACTGGTCATGGGGGGCAGGGATGAGGATGACAAGGGAATAATTCCGTATTGTGGCGGAGGAATTTTAGATTCCGCTTGAATTTACTGCAATCAGCATCTCTTAGTAAAAGTTCTCTTAGCTTCAACCAAATGGAGTCAAGAGTTTTTCTTCCCTAAGGGATGAGACTGGAGCAGGTCTGATACCCACAAGGGAGTAACACCATCCAACTACAGGCTCAGGCCCTGCCTCCCCACAACATGGAAAGTTCTGTTGGGCTTTCCATGTCACTAAGTCGCTAATCACTAAGCTACAGGACCATATGGGCCAATACACGAGCACAGCTTGGAAACAAGCCAAAGTCTCAAAACAACCAGTTGCTCATCAATATAGCCGTTGCCCATGAGTCAAGGTCTAGACACATTGATCTGAGCATAGCCTGGTTTGACTACAGGACAGCCTATGATTCAGTGTATGCACATGGATCTGTGTATGCCTGGGCACTATACAAAATCAACAGGACTCCGAGAGCCTTCCTCAAGTATTCAGTGGGACTGTGGAAGTCAACACTGGAAATAAACTCAAGATGGTTCACACAAGTGACCATCAAGTGTAGCATATACCAAGGTGATGCCCTGTCCCTGCTGCTGTTCTGCATAGGCTTGAATCCCCTCAGCCAGATAATCACAAGGTCTGGATACGTTCAAGTGAGGAGGTACCATCAGCCACCTCTTCTATATGGATGGCATCAACTTGTATACAAAGAATTAATGAGACATCAACTCGCTGATCCACCTGCACAGATCCTTGATGAGGACCTCAGGATATCACTCAGACAAGAGAAACAGAGTCAAGAGAGAAAGTAGTTCATACTGACTGGATAGAACTATCAGCAGGTCACATAATGGACATACAGACCAACGAGAAGTACCTTGGAATCCCATGGGAACCATGAGGAGGAGGAGGAGGCAAGGAAGATAGCAACATCCAAGGACCACCAAAAGATCAGGCAGGTCCTGAAGAGTCAGTTCAATGGGAAGAACAAGGTCCATGCCATGAACAGATATTCCCTGCCACTGCCAGTCATTAGATACCGGTATAGTGACCTGACCAAAGAAAGACTTTGGAAGCTGCTGATGTGAAGATCTGGAAGCTCCTCACAATGTAGAGGTTTCCACCCCAACATCCAAAGATTGCACACCAACAAGACAGAAGGGGGGGGGGGTGTCTGGTGACTGCCACAGTTGCTGTCATGGATGAAACCTAGAGCATCCAAGAGTACATCAGTAAGATGGCACCCGAAGATAGGCTGCTGAGAGAATGCCTGAGGTGGTAGCAGCTCAGGGGTGTCAAACTGGATGTCTTTGAGGGCTGGATCAGAATTGTAGTTCACCTTCATGGGCCAGCCGGAGGGTGGGGGGAAACAGGATGGATGCCTCTGCCAGCCAAAACGGTGCAGGGCCTCCCCACACCCCGTTTTGGCCAGCAAAGTGGTGCAGAGGCCATCCAGGCCGAAAACGGGGCGTAGGGAGCCTCATACCCCCCACACCCCCTTTTGGCTGGCAAAGTGGTGCAGGCCATCCAGGCTAAAAACGGTGCAGGGGCCACACGTGGCCCCCCGCGCCCTGTTTTGGCTGCCAGAGGCACTGCGGGCTGGTCCTTTGCTATTTCCAAACCAGCCGTGGGCCAGATTTAAGCACCCCATGGGCCGGATTCGGCCCGCAGGCCTTGCATTTGACACCCCTGAGCTAGACTGAAAGACGGCACTGGGGCACTGATCAGAGCAGCACAAGAATCAGCACTGAGCACCAGACCCACAGAAGCAGCTGGAGTCTACCACACTAGAGGACCCAAGGTGCAGGCTATGCAGAAAGGCCTCAGAGACAGTCCCAACACCTAGTGGTAGGGTGCAACATGCAAGCCTAACAGCATACACTGAGCGGCACAGCCAAGTAACTGGCACTGTGTACAGGAACATTGGCAGTTCACTTCCTTCTCTCTAGGACGTAGCATATGGTATCTGAAGCAGAACGTCTAGATTGTCCCCGTTTTGTACCATATAGCATCAACCTGAACTCTCAAGTTTCCTCTCTCCATTATATATTCTAAATGGCCTGTGATTAATATATATACTGCTCAAAAAAATAAAGGGAACACAAGCAGAAGACATCTGAGATCTGAATGAATGAAATAGCCTTATTAAATACTTTGTTCTTTATCATAGTTTATACACTGCTCAAACAACTAAAGGGAACACAAAACTACTGTATGTAACGAACAAAGTATTTAATAAGGCTATTTCATTCATTCAGATCTATCTTCTGCTTGTGTTCCCTTTATTTTTTTGAGCTGTGTGTGCGTGCGTGTGCGTGTATGGGTGAAGGTATATATGTATGTATATAATATGTGTATGTGTTTGGGTAGATACATACTTTCTCTTGAGAGCATGTAACAATTTCATTTTTAATGTGGGCTCACAATAAAAAAAATGACAATAAAGTTATCTATCTTACAGTATCTAGATGGGAGATCCCACAAAAAGTGTGGAGAATTAAGAAAGCGAAGGTTCGGAGGGACTTCCAGATCCCGACAGACAGGTACACTGGCCAACCAATCAGACATTGCGATAGTGGACAACAAGCAAAAGACAGCAGGGGTGAGGAGAACCTGGCGAAATACCAGGACCTGAAAGAGGAACCGAAGATGTGGAAAGTCAAGGCCAAAGTGGCCCCAGTGGTGGAAGGAGCACTCAGGGCTGTGATTCCTAAACTGTAACGATCCCAAAAATGAGATTAGAGCTCTCTGTCCAGACACTGTGCAGAACCGCCTTTGGTGGAGACCCAAGGTTGAGGAAAACCCAGGCCACCTATAAGGGTGAGAATGGAACTACACCCATATCCACCCCCACTTACAGTAAGAGTAAAAAATGCATGAAATCATTACAACAGTAACAGTATTTATTAATCAAATTTATACCATATTGCAATCATATGACTCTTGGTAGCTCACAAGAGAGGAATATACAGTAATATATGATATGATAAATACGATAATTAAAACCCAGGCCCAATATAGAATATCAGGTCTCAAAAGCCTGCTGGAAAAGCTTTTTCTGAAAGGTAGACCAAATGTGAGACAGAAGCAGTGGTGGGCTGCTGCTGGTTCGTACTGGTTCAGGCGAAATGGTAGTTCCGACGATCAGCTGGCCCCGCCCACCGGCCCCCATTCTATCCTGTCCTATATTTCCTTCCTTCTGGCTCAGCTGATTCGTGCGGCACAGCTGATTGCCACACCTCCACTGTTCTAACTTACTGGGGCTGCCTTGGAAGGTAAGCAGCTGAGCTTCAAATTGCTGTATTTTGAACACTGTGTGTTGTTAAACAGTTGCAACCCACCACTGGACAGAAGAATGAACCTGTTAAGGCCATTCCAGAAGGGCAGCTCCAGCACCAAAAAGGCAGGGCCTCCAGGAAATTGGGAACAAATAGCTGCTTCTCCCCGCATCAGAATGGTCAGCCCAGCTGTAGCGGGAAGATGCAGAAACCCAGCCCCCAACCTAAAGGGCTTTACAGAGCCGTACATGGATGCACATATGCACAATATATGCTTCTGAGCCTGGACTAGGTTAGGCAGGTAGGACCAGTGGAGGTCAACATTTCTCTTTTGGACAAATTACAGGGCTTGATATCTGATTCACTCTTCTTGTGTGCCTTCAGTCAGGCAAGGAATTAAACAGAATCTATTTAAACAATCGCTGGTCTGGATCTTCTTGTACAAAAATAAATTCTTCCAAGGGTGAAGAACAACTGGCTGTCCAACAACTTTTCTCACATGTGTATACTACTGCAGTTCCAAATTCTATTGATCTATCTGCCAAAAAAAAAAAGAGGAAGAGCATATTCAGGGTTATTGCCCTCATCAGAAATGCATGTAAAAAGATAATTTATGAAAGTGTTGTCCTTCTAACAAAGAGGAACAATAAAAACACAAGATTAAAATTCAACCTCCCCTCAGTCAGCACCATAACAGTAGTCTCTCAAAAAATGCCCCAAATGCTGCCCCCCCCAACACCCGAGGGAAGAGACAAGCCTTAACAGCCGTCTGGAAAGCAAGGAGGGACTGAGCCCTCCGTATTTCAGGGGAGACGGTAGGCACGGTTACAGAAAATGCTCCCTTCCTAGGTCCCATCAGATTACACTTCAGAAGAGACCTAGAGCAAGCCCACCTTATCCAATCTAGTGGGATGGGTAGGTGTCGTCAAGGAGAGCTGATTGATCCCTCAAAGGCCCTGGGCCATGCAGGGCTTCAAAAATGACACCCAACACCTGGAAAGAAATGGGAAGCTGTTGCAACTTGTGCCGCAATAGGAAGGGTAAGGGCTGCTCAGAATTGCATGTGCTGCTGCATTTTGGACCACCTGAACAGAAGCTTAGAGTCTTGGACAAATGTCCAACATAGTCAGATCCATAAAGTTGACCTTGTGAGAACAGGGAGAACCACGGCTTCTTCCAAAGAGGCATTAACCACCATCTGGACCAAACCATGGTCCACCTCCTGGGAAGCCATGACTACCCAGGAGGGATATGGGTCCAGACCAGTGATGGGTTCCTCCTGATTCGTCCGAGCCGGTAGCGGCGACGATATGACGTCACCGAACCGGTTCTGCCCCCCCCCCCCGTTATTCTTACCTTTTATTTGGCCCCACCCCCAACCTATGTCTGTCTCCTGAGTCCCAGCTGATGGCTAGAGGGAAAAAAACTGTTTAAACTCTTGCTGTGGGGCTTCAAAGGGCCGCCCTATAGCTGATCAGTGTTAAAAGAAAACAAGTGGGTAGACCAGTGCCTGCAAAAATACATGAGTAGACCGGTGCCTGCAAAAATAAATGGGTAGATCGGTACAGCTCTGCAAGCAGTTAAAAGCCTGGTAGACCAGTACCTCTGCTAAATCCTAAATAATTGTCACATGACCATCAAACCATGCCCACAAAGTAAGCCACGCCCACAGAACCAGTAGTAAAAAGTTTTAGAACCCACCCCTGGGCCAGACCACAGCTGGGCCAGCTGCAAGGACCCTGCCTACTTTTTCAGGACTAACCAATTGAATCTCTACTCAGATAACTGAGCAAAGTCCTGCCTCAGTCACTTCCATGGGATCACCTTCTTAAAGCAAATCCAAGCAACTTTATCCAAAAGAGGCTAAGCATATTCTTCACAGTGCTGGGGGTTCCACTGATCCTTCCTAACGGTGATTTGGGAAACCCTGACCAGCTGTAAGTATTTCCACATTTATCCAAATTCTTAGCTATCTTATAAATAACTTGCAAAGAACAAAAGAAAACTAAGAAAGGTTTCAAGCAAAACAAGAATATGCTTGCAAGAAGCCTGAAATGTCTCAGGCAGAAGGTACTTAAGAGAGTGTGATATGACTGCACCTTCTGAATTCCAAAGATCTGGAGGTTAAGTCTCCACGGGACTTATTGCCTGCAAGCTGTTAGCATCTCAATGAGTAGCTAGTCTGGCAGACTGGGAGAAAATAATTTATTGTAATAGAAATCTGTAGGAGTAATGCAACAGCCAAACCAGATAGACAAGGCATTTGCAAACAGAAGCAGCATATAGGCAGAAACCAGCAGAAGTCATCCATTCTGAAGTAGAACCTCCAATTTTCTACCTAGCCTCTCTTCCCTTCCCTATTTACACCACAGAAAGGAAGAAACCACCCCTCACCCCAAAAGAATGAACTGCAAGCCAAAATCTTAATTCAGGCCGCCTACCATTTTCTCTGGTTTTCAGCATGTTGACTAGGGTTGGCATCAGTTGGAATTCAAAGATTCTCTTACTTTTGCAGTTATTACAGGGTGGGATTCTTGTCTGGAACTCTGCAGATGGGTGGGTAATAAATAAAGGTTGGCCATTCCAGGAGTATCTAAGAAGCAAAAGGTCCCAAACCTATTAATTACCCCAAGCTTCCATTTAGGGAAAAAGTTCTCCCTAGGCAGCTAAACAAAAAATGCAGTTAGAATACTTACAATAGCAATAGCAATAGCACTTAGATTTATATACCGCTCACTCCATAGTGTTTTACAGCACTCTCTGAGTGCTTTACAAATCTCAGTGTATTTCCCCCAACAATCTGAGTCCTCATTTTACCGATCTTGGAAGGATGGAAGGCTGAGTCAACCTTGAGCCCAGTCAGGACTGAACTCCAGGCTGTGTAGAGTTTGCCTGCAATACGGCATTCTAACCACTGCGCCACCATGGCCCTTCTGGATCTCCTCCAATTCCAAAACACCCATTCCTATCTTTTTAAGATACTTGGTTTAATAATACAGGTAGTCCTTGACTTACAATAGTTCATTTAATGACCGTTCAAAATTACAAAGGCACTAAAAAAAGTGACTTACGACTCTCGTAGCATCCCCATGGTCACGTGATCAAAATTCAGACGTGTGGCAACTGATTCATATTTATGACGGTTGAAGTGTCCCACAGTCATGATCCCTTTCTGTGACTTTCTGGCAAGCCCAGTCAATGGGGAAGCCAGATTCACTTAACAACCGTGTTCCTAACTGAACAACTGCAATCATTCATTTAACAACTGTGGCAAGAAAGGTCATAAAATGGGGCCGAACTCACTTAACAAATGTCTCACATAGCAACATAGATTTTGGGTTCAATTGTGGTCATAAGTCAAGGACTATCTGTATACCACTGTCATTGTATTTCATGGCATATTATATAGTGTATAGTGTGTTATAAAACACACACTGTGCAGCATTACAGCACAGCTCTATGAACCAAAAGAGATCAGTTGAGAACATTTTATCCTACAGAAATTGCCAAACTTTTTGCTTATACATTATTTGGAATCCCTGATCTTGATTTATTGTTACAAGGACTTTACAAGGACACCTATGGAAAAGATTTTGCTTCGGACTTGTTGTGGCCCGCCCGCCAGCGGCCTGCGTGGCTTGTGGCTGATCCCGACGACAAGGAGGCTGGTGTGGTGTCGCGCCAGCAGCCTGTGCAGCCAGTGCTCGCGTCGGACAGCGAGGAGGCTGAAGAGGATGTGGTGCCAGAGGCAGAGACTCAGCCAGGGCCTTCAGAACCTCCAGAGGCTCCTTCAAGTGCAGAGAGTGAAGTGGAGGAGCTCTCCTCAATGCTCGAGCACGCAGGGCTGCCAAAAGGCAAGCGTGGCTACTCAGGAGGAGGTCTCCTCGAGAGTAAGGCTTGGGGCTAATTGGCCACTTCCTTAGCCTATTTAAGTCACACGCAGTTACCAATTGTTGCTGGAAACAACAGTTTAATTATTACGCAGATCATTTTGGAGAGTGAGTTTCTTATCACATCTTGGTTTCTGGGCTGGTTGCCAACCTTTGTCAGACTTTGTTTATTCTTTGTACTTTATAGCAGACTGATAAGGACATTTGCACTGAAAGCCTGCATTTTAAAAGGGGTCTGTTTGTAATAAACGGAGTTTTTGGAGCTTGGTGTGTGTCACACTCCTTGGGATCTGGAGCTGGGGCAGAACAGGACTGATAAGTCCATCTTTTAGTTTTGTTTAGTTCATCGGAGCCTAGGAACGGTTGGAATTTTTACTTAAAAAGGGGAAGAGCCCTTTGGTACCTCCCATATCAGTGGGGAACCTGCTCAGCAAGGATGGCACCGAAATTCAATGCAACGTGCCAATTGGCAGCTACTGCTTTTCTTCATACTTTAACTGTACAGTTAAAGTATGAAGTATAAAGTTTTTACTGTAAACTAATGTTTACAGCAGATATATAAAATACTTGCCAGCCGAATGTCATTATTTCCCACAGATCCTCTCCTTCCATTGCTAAAACGAAGCCCCATAACCCACTTCCCTACCTTCCAGGAACATCACTACATTATCAGCAGCCCCACTGCCTTGGAGGAAAAATGTTCCATTTTTAAGAGTCTAAAAGCCTGCTTCCCATGATTTAGAATGCTCTCCTTCGTATAGGTGTCATGGCTGAAGCATGGGTTGCAGCAGGAACCCCTGTTCCCAGCCAGACAAGAAGCAATGGGGGGAGGGAATGAATGGAATGAAAGGGAGGTATTGGGAGGGGGCCCAAAGGGATGCAAGAGAGCAGACTCGAAGCTTGTAGCTATGTCAGATGCCAATCTTCACTTTCTTTGAAACTGGCTAGCAACTGCCATAACCCTGTGTGTGTGTGTGTGAGGGAGAGGGAGGGAGAGGGAGAGGGAGAGGGAGAGGGAGAGGGAGAGGGAGAGGGAGAGAGAGAGAGAGAGAGAGAGAGAGAGAGAGAGAGAGAGAGAGAGAGAGAGAGAATTGGGGAAGGGAAGGGATCTGGAGGTGTGAAGGAATGCTGTGGGAAATAAGGGAGTATAGACACCAACAGGAACCAGAGGCGTCAAAGTGAGCTATCTTCCTGCCTTCAAGGACAGCGACCCTGGGAAAGGAATTTACAACCCTGCCAGAGGCACCTGGTTTCCCAAACATTGGAACGATGCCTGATTGGACTGCTCCCAAAGGGGGGAGGGATTTGGGACATGAGGATTGCTTTCACTATGTAATTTTCATGCAGGTTTTCCTCAGAGCTTGCCTCGCTTGTGCTGCACCCAGTACCTTTTCTCTAACACCTATGGAGTCAAGGGTCATTTTTTCCTAGGAGCAAAGCTGGGGCCAGTCTGACAGCCAACGCCTCAAGGTCAACCAGCTGGGAAAGTCTGTTACCCAAACAAAACGAACACAGTGGATTGGAGGAAATAAAGTGACGGTGGGATGGCTGACATTTAATTATGCGATTTGTGTGGGAATCTGTTAAATTAGCTTTGCTATTTCTGTATCCATGTCAGCTCAGTAAATTGTATTCTTGGAAAATGAAGCTAGCCCAGGAGTCTTTATTTGCTGAATGAACTGCGTGGGACGGTTGACAGTAGGGCTCAAAGATATTCTAAATTCTAACTTATTTCCAAACACATTCTGTTTTTTAATACACAGGAGCGAAATGAATGGGCCTAACCTACCTTAAGATCTGTTCCTGGCAGCAGGAAATTCTTTTCATGAATTTGTAGAATATCTGGTTTCTCTTTTCAGCTTCACTCTTCTCATACTTCTCACCAGAACCATCAGGGGTGTAACTAAGCATAAGGGAGACACTGATATTACACCAGTCACAATATAACAGCATTAGTTAACCGACTCAGAAGGGTTTTCTACTAAAGAGAGAAAGAGAAAACTATGGATTGGGATATCCACAGGATGTGGTTAAAAGCCATGCTAGCAGGGCTGAAGCTGTGCCTGGTTTATCCTACCTGGAGGAAGATTTATCTATACTCCTTTATGCTGCTGACTTTATGACTGATCCTGATCATTTTTACATTTGTATTTTATTATCGGAATGGTCTGTGCTTTTGTGAACTGCTTTGTGAAGCCTAGAATAGAAAACTATAAATATTCAAATAGCAAGTCTCTTGAATATTCTCCATTCTATGCTGTACATTTTCTGCATCTGCAGACTGGCTGTTGCTTGGTACAAATTTTCCAGCCACTCTTCGCAATCCAGAGAAAACTTTCAGATTCACCTTGACTCAAGCCTCACCTTGCTGACATCAAATGTTCCAAATCCATATCCTCCCTCCGCTGATACTCCTTTAGAAGCCTCTGAGCATCATCCAGATCATCCCAACAAAGATAGTCTTCTTCCTCCACTACACTGATGTAGTAGGGCTGGAACTCCTGGGCACAGCTGGAGGGCTTGATTTGCTCTTCCCGAGTCACATCACAAAAGGACCCCATGTTCTTCCCCAGGCTCATCCTCTGCAATAGAGCTGCACATTGTGTTTCTCGTGGAAGAGAGTTGAAAGTCCCACACAGCTCAGAAGGTGCCTCTTCACAGTTTTCTCCCCAGTCATCTGCTCCGTTGCACCAGTCTGTGGCTGCTTGTGTCCATTCTTGCTCCTATGAAACCCAAGGGATGCAAAAGTGAGTTATGCAGAGCCAGATCCAAGCAGTTATAAAGCAATTGCTTCAATCCATCAAAGCTGGAGACTTTCTCGGACCTTGGGGAGTCAAGATATTTTTATATTCTTTTTTATTCTAGCAGCTTGTCCCATCAGTGTTGGTGGAAATGGTCTTGGGAGTTTCTTTGGTTGGGCTATTTACTGTTAGCTGGTTTGGCAATTCTTTGGGGTACTGTTTACTTCTTGATCGTTGATCCGATGTTAATCTTTGCATTAATCATGGCTCATCTGATTGTTGATTGCTGATAGGAAGGCATTTTGGTCTTTTTGTTCCCTTTTTGGCTTGTTGATCGCCTCTTTTGCATTGTATGTTGCTTATGTGTCTATTGATAGCCAATGAGTGCCGGGCTTCCTGGAATTCTGTAGCATTTTTGGACTTGGCTTGGTTTAGGATGGTCACAGCTGTCCAGTTGAAACTATGGTTATTCTCCCCATATATTGTGAAATTAAAGGGTTTTCATCATGTCATCTGACTTCTCCTTGGTGTCCATGGAATCGTGTTCTGACCATTGGTGTTCTCACAAATTGGCCATCAATAGACACATAAGAGTCGGGAACGACTAGACATATGTGCGAGGGGAACCTTTACCTTTGATACGTAAGACATAAACATCTACATACTATGCAAAAGAGACAATCAACAAGCCAAAACAGGAAGAAAGACCAAAACAGCTTACTGTCAGCAATCAACACCCAGATGAGCCAAGATTAATGCCAAAATTAACATCAGACCAACCAACAATCAAGAAATAAACAATACTCCAAACAAGAAACTGCCAAACAAGCTAATAGGAAACAGCCCAACCAAAGAACCTCCAAGACCACTTCCATTAGGGAAAATAAAGGCAAAACTCACTCTCTACTAGCACTGAGGATGTTACCTAGTTTGGGTAATGAAACATCTTCAAGAAAACCACCAAGCTGAGTGAGTGCCAAGGACCCCTCAAATTTAAGGGGATATTCTGGAGAGAAACTCCGATAGATTGTCTAGGGCTCTAGGCCAATTTTAGCTAAATTTCAGGCTGGGGTTTAGTTTTGAGGCAGCCTTCCTTACACTTGTCAATGACCTGTGGGGGAGCTGGGATGGAAAGGAACCTTCAATTCTTTTTTCTTTTTTGTTAAACTTTCCCTGAATTGTTTCAGCAAACAAAGGACATCCTCCAAGAGTGAAATATGCCAATCCCAACTGGAGCAGGCACCACATTAAGAAACCAACTTGAACAAAAAGAATAAATTAGGCATGTTTTTTTAAACAATTTGAACATTTTTCATCCTATTATAATCTAACCAAACACATAGCAAACTGCTTCTGCTTCACAGAGAATGTTTGCCTGCCCTTGAATCCAGACTGGGAAATTGATGTAAAAAGGCATATTAGTCTTCCCATTAATATTCCATGTAACTATACCGAGCTATATACAGTAGCTATATTGAGATAAGGTGCACAGATATAATAAATATATTCTGATGAAGACTACACATATTACCTTGTAGGATGTTGCAACCTACCCTTGTGTTTCAACAGACTAATGTATATAATGCTATCTCTGCCTATGTTTCACTGATACTTAGGACTAGTTCAGCTACTAGTTCAGTAGCCATTAAATGCCCCAATTCTAATGTAAATTTCTTAACTAATACATGCAAAGGCTTGTACTTCTACGTTAGAAGTTCCTCCACAGTTAGAAAACTGACCTGGCCACATGCAACTACTTATAGAATATATTCTCTGTGCCCATGTTACCTGTTTCCATGTGGAGTCTTGTATTTCTTTTCTTGGGACTTGCAAATACTGGGATCGTAACACCTTCCAGCTTTAAAAACATGGTACAGACAATAGCAAAAGAGACACAAATTAATGCTAACAAAATTATTTCACAGTAATTTTGACATTACTTCACAGTAAACTCGACATTAAACTTTGAAATGTTATTTCTGTTTTCCTTTTAGGTTTTCTTACTGTTTTTTTATTGTTTTAATTGTTTTTAACGTGTAAAAATGAAGTGTTTTAATACTGTGTGTGACCAACCATACGCTAAATAAATAAACTTCACAGTAACTTTACTAGATTTGACAACTTAGGCCAAAAAAGTAACCTGCATAAATCAAAAAATTTCTGATTTGTATTCCTTTTCTGCCATGTTCTCACTGGGTGAACAAATGTAGGATGCCACCCCATTGTAAAACAGGTTACTAGTCTATTTTGCTTTGCACAGTATTCACCAACATACCGTTGGTTTATTACCACAGATTACCCCAACAGAGTAAAAAAATAAACTATGGGTTATAAATCACAATGGCTGGGTTCACACAGCATACTAAGCCATACAGGCAGTCCTTGCTTAATGATGGTAATTTCCATCATAAATCAAATCATATAACTTCATCACTTAGCACTTGCAATTCCCACAGTCTCGGTTGCCATTGTTAAATGAGGATCGTGGATTGTTAAGCAAGGACCTCACGTGACCATGACTTGCAACTTCCTACAAGTAAAATCAATGGAGAAGCCAGCAGGAAATCTTAAGTCCCAGTTGGCTTGCAAGGCCAGTTGGCAGGTGAGTGTTACAGAGTGTGGTTGGCAGGGGTGCTGCGCAAGCTTGACCAGACAAATGTACAATAGGGAGTGAAGGCAGGGGGTCTTGTGTAACAGGCTCATTGGGAAAAAAAGCAGTGGGAGTGGCTTATGGGAGTGATTTGTGACCTTCCCTGCCTGTTTCCTCATTGACTTTGCTTGTGGGAAGTCAGTTGGGAAGGTTGCAAATGGTGAGCAGGTGACTGTTGGATGCTGCAATCGTCTTAAATGACAGCTGGAACTTCAAGGACCAGTTGCACATATCACTTCTTCAACAGTGTCACAACTTCTAACAGTTGCTGAGCCTGTAAACAATGTTTATCATTTGCTGGGGTCCCTGAACCAAATAGCCGGAGCTCTGGAATACTGTTTACCACTTGAGGTTTTTGGCATACAAGGAAGGTGCTCGTCCATCTCTCTTGCAAACGCTTGCAATAGGAAGGGTTTACTTTTGGAAGGTGCAGAAAATATGAAGAACTTTACAGAGGGAATTGTTATATTGCATTACTTCTTAGTTACGTACACAAATTTCACTTAAACACAAGAAGTTCTTCCCCTCAAAAGCCGAGATAAAACCCAAACTACCTATCAGAATTCCCCCAGCAGGTTTTCGTGGCACAAGCAAATACGTTGATGACCCGGTGGTACTGTGAGCCTTCAAGGGGACAATAGATTTGCACCACGTGGAGCAGGCCAGCCCCGCAAACCTCACAGGACGGGTGGATCACAGGGACCGAGAGCCTCCAATCCTAGGAGAAAAGGGGAAGAACCCAACGTTATTTAACCTTCAATAACAGATCTTCCTTCCTTCCTTATTATTTATTGGTTCGATTTATATGCTGCCCTTCTCCGGAGACTCAAGGAGGCTTACAATGTGTTAAGCAATAGCCTTCATACTTTTGTATATACCTGTTTAGTAGGGCTTCCCCACCCCCAAGCGGTGTTCTTTTTTATACAAAGTCAGCTTATTGCCCACACAATCCGGGTCCTCATTTTACCTACCTCGAAAGGATGGAAGGCTGAGTCAACCTTGAGCCTGGTGAGATTTGAACTCGCGGTAATTGCAGGCAGCTGGTGCTATTTAACAGCACTTTAGTCTGCTGCGCTCTTCCTTCCTTCCTTCCTGTTACCAAGCAGTGCCAGAAAAAGCCCCCAGGTGTGCTGGTTAGCCCGCCCTCCACACAGGTGGCCTAATACCTGCAGGTTCCCTGCAAAGGCAGCTGCTCTCCGCTCCCCTTCCCCCCCCACAACTGCCCAGCGCCATAAGCTGGGCGGGTCCATTTCGGGCGAGGCTTTCAAGCCCCCCGAGAACACCCGGCTCCTCCGAGCTGGCACCGGCACGGCGTCCCGCTCCACCGCGGCTCCCGCAGAGGGTCGGCAGAGGCCGGAGACCCTCCCGAGACCTTCCAGCCCTTCGCTATTCCCGAGGGAACCCTCGCAGCCAGCCCGGCCTCCCTCTTACTGCCCCGCCCAGACCGCCAGGAGGAGGAGGCGGCGGCGGCCTCCAGCGGAACGGCCCCGGGTCCCCAACCCACCGGAGACCCGCCCAGCTTGCTGGCGGCGCCCTGCGACGGGAGGCCATCGCCCGGCGGGACGGCGGCGTCGCGCAGCCCCAGCAGCACCCGGGCCGGAGTGGTCGCCATGGCGCCTCGGGCCACCCACGTGGCGGAAGAAGCGGCAGGACGACCGGAAGCGCCCCGCCCTCGCGGAGACGGCAGGCGAGGGCGGCCAAACGTGGGCGCGCGAAGCTGTCCCTTTCCAGCCAGAAGACGGACTGCGGCGGCGGCGGCAGCTGCTCGGGGGGGGGGGGGGGGGGGGCGCTCGGAACGGCGCCGGCCGAGGCCGTGGACGGGAACTTAGGGGAGGCAGGAAAGCGGCGGGACGGAGCTGGCGCGAAGGGACTGGCTTTCCCCGGGGGAGGGGCGCAAATGCTGCCGCGGCTGCGGCCACGGGAACTCGGCCTCCGGGAGAGGGGCTTGCTGATCGCGGGGCAGCTCCGTGGCCCACCCAGCCAGCCCCCTTCCCCGCAGGCCTCGCACGTCAAGCCAGGGATAGCAACAGGAAAGCCACCCGCCGTTTCTCTCTCGTGGCAGGCAGGCCTGTCCCTGCTAAGCGTTGGCAGTTGAAGAGGGGCTGCCTCCCTACAAGGTAAGGAGGCCATCCAACCGTTGATTCTGCGGCCCACAATCGTCTTTTTAAATATAAATGTGCAAAAACGGCATCCGTGGGATGAGGGTGAACATTCTTGCGCTCTTTATGGGCCCAGTCACAGGTTTTCAAAAGCAGAAATTGGAAATGTTGGTTTTCCTGCACATCAAGTGTATTTATTCTTTTTTTCTTTTGCTTCCTATTAGATGATCCTAATAGGGCAAACCTATTCTCTGTTATTTGACATTGAATGGTAATAGAAGAACGTGGACCATTAAGATGTAACATAAGAAAATAATCAAAAAATTAAAAACAAGTCCGGTTAAAATTGACACTAAGCACGTTTCCATCCAAAGCTGTGAGGCTGTAGGTTTAATTGATAAACTTTACATGGTCTTAAAACAAGTGAGCCAAAAGAATTGCCCCAAATATCTATGTCTAGAATATGATTGAGCTGTAAAGAAATTTCACAAAGATTACTTTTCTTATTGAATGGTTTTATTCTGGCTTAAGAGTAAGAAGGCCCACTTTTCCGTAGCAAGATACACTGAAGGGATGTCATGCTGCTGTTCATTGGGGTACAGTACACCCCAATTAGTAAACTCAAATAACTGATGGGTAAATTGAAACCATACCTTCATAATATCTCATTGGTATTTACAATTTATCTGGTTTAAATAAGTTTGGGACACCTTATACAGTATACATAGTTATTGCAACAATACAGCACTTGCCTTTTGTCTAAAAAGCCCTCTCCAAACTGTTCAGCATCATGATTTGTGGATTCCAAAAAGGCGTTCACATGCAGAATATTACTAAACAAAATCGTATCTATTTCTACAGTTGCCAAATACTTGACCTCATATGGAAATGAATTACAAAATACTTCCTTATAGTGCTATACAAAAAATATAAAATTACGGTTCTATCACTTTAGTATTCCCATTTGCCAACAGTGCATTTATCCACATTTTATCACTACTGAACACGAAGGAAAATGAACAAAAATTCAGCAAATTAGATAAAATATTTTAATCTTTGGATCCCTTTATTCTTGCGGCTTTCAGATATACATAAAAATACAAATTATTAAAGATCTGTATCTAATTATAACTTAATAGCAAAAGAAGTCATAACTAGTTATTCAGAATTAACCTCAGTTACTCCAAGCAAAATCACTCTAGTGAGACTGGGGTAAAAATGAACAGTCAATGTCTCCAAGCTACAGTCCATCAAAACTCTGGCAATCGCAGACACTAAGAAATCATTCTTAATTGAGTATGCCAACAATACAAAACAACATTTTAAGAATCGGCACATGGAGACATTTCATTTTTATTCCAGGCACATCAATAGGAACAAGAAGTCAGTGACTGGCTCTTTTTTCACTTACTATCATAACATGACCTGCAAACTGTGCATAAAGTGTTAAAGATTTATCTTTATCTAAATAGTCCCTTAGTGTGGTCCAATCCTACAGCAAGACCAAAAACTAGAAAATGGATTTCTTGCAAGAGAAATATTTTAATCCTTCTGAATAATGGAAGAACATTTCAAATATTTATTGGTAGTCAAAATATAAAAACAAACAAATTTAAAGCTGAAAAGCTAGAAAGAAACCCTCCAAACATGTGTTTAGCATTTCAACACGGCAGTTTTGTAGACTTAAAAATGTTTATTCTTAAAAAATTAGTTGCTTTTTATACAGCTATACAAAATCCCTAGTGTTTCTTTGGCAATGGGATAATCATGGAATTATACAACTATAAAAAGCTTCCTTTGCCCAAGAAACAGCATTTTCCATGTTTATACTTTCTTTACTGACAAACCGAATTTTTTTTTTTACTGCCCAGCATCCTATTTGACAAAAATTACAACTATCTGAAAAGAGATTATAGGATTTCAAATACAACCTTCACTGGATCAACACACTCACAGTACTGACGGCCTTCTGCATACAATTGTCTTTATAGCCTGCAGCAATTATAAAATACAATTTTAATTCAGAAAAACCCTTTCTGTAATGAAAAAAAAATACTAAAACTCCACTGAAGTACTGCTTTATACTTTTAACTATATGTAAGAAAGTATTTAAGTTTTCTATCTCAAATATATTTAATATTCTTGTTTTTGAAGATGGCCATATTTTCAAAAAAAGTTACTCCTCCTTTGAAATTAAAAACGAACGCTAGTGCTGGTGAAGTTTTAACAGCAAATGAACATAATTCTTTGCAAAACCCAACACCTCCTTGGTACCATGAAGATCAGCAAGTCCACCTGCTTTCAAATTCTTTGTAGATTATGCTGCAACTTTGTTGTCTTTCTAAAAAGCAATACAAGATTAACATTATTTTTTGTTCAAGCTGGTATAAAGTCAATTTGATCAAAATCATAAACATCTTGAAAGATGGGCAGCCATACAAATTTGATAAATAATAAACTTGTCATCAAATTTTCAAAATGAATAAATGAGTTTCATTACATCTACTAGACCCTGCCACCTATCTGCTATGTAACATAAATAAGCTACAAGAATAACTACTGTACATCAAAATATGAATGGAATAGAACAATTTATGCCATGCATCTTCCTTTAGCACCTATGTTTGGTCTGTGAAAAGTCCCAATTCATTGCTATTGCTGGGGAGTATAGCTAATGATGTTAGACAGAGAAATGGTCTGACTTGATAAAAAGGAAATTTCACCATGAATTTGTAGCCCCTTTATTGTGCTGCTTAATTAATTCAATGAGGCCACCTACCAGTGGCGGAAAGGAAAGGAAAAACTGGCAGGAAGATTCATAGAACCATTTCAGGTTTTGTTTTCTATTTCATTGTACTTATAATATTATGCCAAATATATATTTGTAAAAATCATAAAAGATGTACTGAGATAATGGTACCATAATTAAAGAAAAAAGTGAGTGAATTATCTAAACTATTTTAGTTCTGTAAATAGCACTATAATTAGCAATTTACAGATAATAATATTGGTTATTGCCTTACCCTATATTCAAAATCTGCGAACTCCCTGCCACCACGGCCACCTCTGAATCCACCACGAAAACCCCGAGGAGCATTGAAGTTTCCTCTTGTGTTTCCACGTCCTCTACCTGCCCGGAAGCCACCTCCTCCTCCACTTCCCCCTCTGCCTCTGTATCCCCCCCGACCACGGTTTGAACGCAGTGGAATTCCAAATGTCTCTGCATTTATTCTTCTTTCCTCTGCCCAGTTTGGTCTTCGGTCTCTGAAAGATACAGAAGTGACACATTGCTGTTGCTTCAAGTTATGACCAATTTCTTCCTAAAAAGATACTTCCAGAAAATGACCACTAGGAATGCCAGGGTTAGTTAGCAAAATGAAAAGTAAAAACTGTATTACAGCATATTATGTAACCCCTTTCTCAGACCTTTAGTAGTGGACACCCAAAGGTGAATTTAGAAATGCCAACATCTTCATTAAATTCCACTTGGGAGAGAACTGCGATCAGAAGGAATTCATTAAACTGTTGATAAACTGATGCAGTGCTTAGAAGTCTCAAATGTTTTTTTAAAAAATAGGTTGCACCTTTTTGCAAGAGAAAAATGATGAAACAACCTTGTCCACTGCCTCAGCCTTGGATTTTGAGAGAACCTGCCTGATTTTAGAAGACTGAATCTCAGTGCCAGGTCTGCCATCTTCAGCATACTCTGCTTTGCTGGCATCCTTCCATAAAATGCAGAGGGGGAGAGATTGGGGAAGTAGGAGGGGGGAATGACAGGGTGACGGGAACCATAAGTGTCAATCCAGAAGAAGCCAGCCGATCAAGAACAGAGCTATGAGAACTGATTGTGAAACTCCAGCAAAGAGGCGCCAAATATCATTGGACACTGACAGTCAATGGGGGAGGGCCAGGGAAGAGGGAAAAATGCCGGTTTTGCGTGGGAATATTGAGATCCAGCTTTGCTTATGCTGTAACCATTTGACTTTAATAAAAGTAAACCTTTCACTTCAAAAATAGAGTTGAGGGTCTTTCTTTCCTAAATGCTCAAATCTGGACAAGCTCAGAAGTCTCCATCTATGGTTCATTAGTCCTGCAGCAAAATGAGTAGAGTAGAATGAACTGTGGCATGCCTGAATACAGAAGAAAGATTATACTTATAAAAAGAAGCTACTAGTATTCGCATAAGATAGAAATCATTTTTAATTGCAGACACTGCAATCAAAAGTTGCACCCACCTACATGCTGGACTAGTCCAGTTCATTCTACTGCCTTCATTCTGCTTAATATGAAAAAGAAACTTCAGTTCTCCATTCACATGCAAAATTCTGGCTCAGACATACTGCCTGTTAGTGTCAAAGGAATGCCATGTGTAGCTTGCTCAGAAAAACTTGGTACCTGTTGTCGTCACAGGAAATGTTATCAAAGAAAGACTTGGTTTTGTCATAGTAGCAATTGGGGCCAAGCGGGTCCTCATCATCTGCATTGCCTTCACTGTTTTGGGTATCCACACCTGAATCACCTTTATCTTCCCCGTTCACAGGTTTTTC